GACTAAAAATATTGGACTACAGGTGCATGTGGCGTACAAAAAAACCAGGACAGAATCCAAAACAAAATATATATGACAATCTGTTTTAAAAATAATAATGTTGACTACTTCTTAGAACAAATACTATTAAAAAACTATCCCTTTTCATTCCTCTAAAGTCAAGTTCAAACCACAACCCTATGACCACAGTGATGACCTGTTGCATCATGAGCCCAAATCTTGTTATGGCCAAATTTTTGCACAGCACGACTATGAAGGAAGCGCACATAAAGAAGACTATAAAGTGAGTCAGGACAGAGAGCCAGTGTGCGACTTCGCAGCGTCTGAAAGGGGAAAGAGAAGCAGCATTGTCCCATTGACAACGGTCGGTGTGAATAGGAAGCCGGTTGTGGAGTGTTGCACTGGAGCCGGCCAAAGAGCTGGAGCAAATCAAGATGTGTGCCGAACGTGGACGCCAAAACCAAAGGCATCCAAAGCCCTATTTAAGGGCCCGACGGGGATGTGCTCGATGTGTCTGAGAGCTGAGGCGATGTGACACGTGATAAATTTTTCAGGGAGATTAGACACACGAAGCGGGAAGTGGGGGGTGTTTGGAAGAGCATGTGGGGACGTGGGGGAAAAGTTGTGCCGACAGCTCAAGATCACAGTGGTTCATCAAAATCTGCATGATAAACAAAAACGCTGAATGAAGAGGGCCAGTCTAAGAGGAAAGATTGAGTGTGTTCTGGATGCAAGCTGAGGTTTCAAACTCTGAAAAGAATGGAGATTGTGGAATCTTTATAACTAGTTCCCATCAACGAGAAAGGGCGACACGGTGGCGCAGTGGTTAGCGCTTGTTTCACAGAAGGTCCAGAGTCACTCATGTTCTCACCTTGGCTGCATAGGATTCATCCAGGTGCTCTGGTTTCCGCTAAAAACATCTGGTATGACTGATGAGGAAGTTAAAGGAGCTATACCCGATTTATTTTCTATCAAAAGTTAATACAAATGCCAAGACCTAAAATTTAGGAAGAGAAGTGGGAACTAAACCAAATAAATGATCAAAGAAATCAAGCCCAGGTGGATATAGGTAAAATGTATCCCCGCAGGAGGGACCTGCAGGACGGCCTCAGACAAAAATATAATGCAAAACTGGCGGTTAACCTATTTGATAGGTCCTTTCAGTTATTGTACTGTATATTTTGTTTGCAGTGCGTTTAGTACCACTTCATCAGTGATTGTTGTACAGCTTACGTGAAGTTTTGCTAATGCTAATGTTAGCATACCTATCCGATTGCTACTAAAACTAAATGGCTAAGTGGGAGGAGAGCGTAGGAGAGAGTAGGAGGGTTTCTCAAAATGAAATGTTTGTGAGGGAGTTGGGGGCTAAATATGTGTGTATATGTGTGTAATATATGCTTAAAGTGTTGAAAATTCAAACTGAAAACAGAATTGGGTAGAGCTCCTTTAACAGATGGTGATGCTATGAGTATTTGCCGTCTCGCTTCAGTCATCACTGCAAGTTTGTGTGACCTTGGTCTGTGAAACGCGCTATATAAAATAAAGATTACTTACTCATAACATAACAAGTTAGTGGTCTAGTTATTGTCCTAAAGTTCTGTGTTTACACTTTCTGGAGGAGAACAAAAAATAAATAAATAAAAGCCCTTACCTGCTTGACTTTTTTTGACAATAGGCCGCAAAAAAGATGAATTACATTAATCATTAGCTACGTTGCAACTTTTCTTTGGTCCTACACATTTTTTTTTTTTAAATTAACCTGTAATTGGGAGTTGGACTTTTCAAGTTTGTGCCACGAAGTAAACAAAATGAGATAAAGCAATTCAAACTCATCCATTATTTACATTTTTTTGAAGATTATTTAATTATCTTAAACTAGCTTTAAGCAGTTGGTGTAGTTTTTGTTTCCACAAAACATTAGATATTTTTTGACTGTGGAAATAACTGACAAGTGTGCTAATGAAAACTGGCATGAAAAATTACTTTGATAACTAGTTTCTGTAGTATTCACAGTGGTTGTAATGCATTTTTGAGTGTTCTCTGTACTTGCGAGTGGCTCATACAGAATACTGTATGTTATTAAAAGACCAGTGACATTTGTAGTCACATAAAGCAGACATAAAGACCTAAATGTGTCATAATTCATGTTTACATATGTTTCCTAGCTAACGTTGTCAAATTATTATATTATCATTAATTTGACCAAAGTATGAGAAGCTCTCTAAACATATCTGGGAACGGTTTACTAGAAATCATGTAAAATAAAGTTATTCTATTCTATTCGCACAAGTTGTTTGATAACCCAGCTCTACATTTTCTTTCAGCAACATTTTCTTTTACAAATCCCAGTTTATCAGATGAGCAGACAAGCCTCATTTTAACTTTGGGCCAATAGGCAAGATTTAGCAGTGTAACATTAAATCCAGTCTTGGCACAGCAGGCGCTTCTGCTGCTCTAGTTGGAAGGAATAAGAAAAATGAAAACATACATTTTTGAGTTCATCCAATGTTCGGCTAAATGAGCCAAAATCCGTTCAGCGCTGCAGACTGCGGGGGTCTGACTGTGGCCACATGCAAAGATACACAACTACTCCAAACACTGCTGATGTTGTAACTTCCTGTTGATACTTATCAAACAAGTCAAGCCTATCTTTGACTCCCTTCATGTTTCAACCACACCCACCCTCTTATCTATATTCTCAAAGTGTAGTTAAGTAAAGAGAGCGAAAAAAAAAACGATAACACACACATCCAGAGCAGAGATCTACGTTGGAGAGCAGCACAACTCATAACGGCCAACTGTGAAAACATCTTTTAAGTGGCAACTGGAATAGACTCAAGTATTTTGTCCGTTTTGTGTCTATTTTAAGCAGTTCATTGGCCTGAGTTAGTAGAAAAAATACTCTAAAAAGAAGAAAAAAACTGATTTTTTCATAACAAAAAGGTTGTAAAATTGTTTACATGGTCCGTAATTGAAAGGGATGTGGTGTGTAATAGTTTTACTTGCAGTCATTTATGGCAAATTGGTTGAGCAGAGATAAAAAAAACTTCTATCCTTTTTCATTTTTTAAAGTCCATTTGATTTCCAATGCTTCAGCTTATGATAGCCTTCATCAGATTGTGTTCTTTCCTTGTGGCAATAAACAAAACTGAGCAGATTTAGCCAGAGTGAAAGTAGATTACAGTGATATTGTTATTATACGTTTGGTTTCATGTGACTGGAAAAAAAAGATTATGCACCGATATCTCCATAGCCAGGAGTCTGCAGTCACTAAGAGTTTAACAAGCTTGTGCCAATATGATCTTGGACAAACAAAATAAACAAGTTTAAAGGGAACTCTCATTTAAAGCAGTAATGTTCCAGGTAAACAGAGACATTAAAAGTTGTTAGACCTCTCCAGCACAAAGCCCCTGTCATTAGGGGTTGAAATTCTATCTGAAGCGTCCCCTTAGCCATGGGAACAGCCACAGGGAGAGCTGAGTGCAGGGCCGACAACACAAGAGCCAAATAAAGCCAATGAAGTCCAGTCGGGCACCACTGCACTGAACTGGTCTGGACCGAGACATCCAGCAGACTAAAGGGTCAACATATATGACATAGCATAATCCATCTGCAAAGTGTGGCCCTATTTATAAAGTGAAGGATCTCCTGGCCTCTTGCTCCACTAATGTAGGACAGTGTGAGGGCATTAAGCAGGAGGAGGGGCAGATTATCAGTGTCCCATCACAGCTGTAGCAGTGAATCTACACTACAGTATATAAGTCCGTCCACCCCCCTAGCGTCCCGCCGCGCACCACCCCACTGCCCCTAACCCCGAGGGCAGACAGAACAAGCTCTGCCTGATGACACGGTCGCAGGACAAGCGCAGTAAGCCTGACCTATTCAAGCTGACACATATTGAACGGCTGGGTGCAATGGTGTGGAAATGACTTTGCTGCAATAAACTGTTACTGCTGCTTTGGGTTTATATAACTGTCAAAATAATTTATGGTGAAGAACATTTGTGACAGATTTAAAACAGGCGTCAACTTACTCAAGTAGAGTAATATGAATCATTCTGATTTTAGTAGTTTGGACAGACTTAACTAAGCATCAAGGTATGTTACTGCTATGGTATTCTTTCACTTATTTGTGCAATTGTACAAATCATATAGGATTTAGTAATTCAAAGTTTAAACTGTTTACTGTATACAATATCATTGGCAGTCAGAAAGCAGGGAATTGTTTTTTAACATAAAAATAATCAAAAAGACACAATCAAAAAAGCATCCAGTAAAGATTTTCAACTATTTGCAAGAGGAACTTTTAACTGGAGGAATCCAGCTGTTTTCTTTCCCAAGCCTATGACAACAGTCTGAAAGTATTCCAATCAGTATCTACCATCTTACAAATTATGCCCTATTGGCTACAAGGTTTAATGATCAGCAATAACGTCAGACCATGGGAGAATAGGTCAAATACTGGACAATAACAAGTCTGGACGGAAACCATTTCTGATACACTGAATATTTAGGTATGTTACAGCCTGCATCAGGTTGGGGTATATACACTTTGAGAAAGTGCGTTGGAGCCCTAGGAATAAGACTGGAGTCTCGCTTTCACCTGCCTCGTGCATGCGCACGCGCACAGATACACTGACACGGAAACTATTGACAAACGGTAAGTTCTGGACCTGAAACTTAGTCAAAGGTTGTAGGGTCGAGTTTGAACGCTTTCTGCAGGGCCAGCACGAACGAAGGAGACAACAAACCAGCTCTCTCTGTAAACCACACTAACGCCTTCAATGAAACACCGACTGTAGCGCGAGGCATGCGGAAATGACACACACCAACTTGTAGCGTGCCTTTAGATCCTAACAAGTATTTTTCATCAGTTTAAACCTAAAGAAGATCTAAACTACCTTCAAAACAACGCTCTCGTTTACGCCTCAGCAAACACGGTATTAGACATGTTTTAGGGCCGTTTGCCACGGGGGTCTGTAGTAAAGGTCGGCTGCCTACCTGAAGAATGCGTAAAGCTGTCGTACTTTCCCAGTCCACGGTGTTTTTGGGCTCGTTGTACTTTTCCTGTGAGTTCTCCGCTCGGCACAGCTGCGGGCGGACAGTCCTCCACCAGAATGAGTCAAACACGTCACGTCAGCGTAAGTCCGCCCCCTATGGTCGACCCCACCCTGACGGCCACAGAGCGCTGCTTTTGTTGAGCCACCGTCTACACATCAGTGCTTTATATTTTAGAAGAAAGAAAGAAAAAGACAATAGTTTTACACATTGTAGATTATGAGGAAAAACACATAGGTTTCCCAGACTCTTTGTGTTCATAGTCTTGTGTAGCCTACTTCCATGTCTCAATCACAGTCAACTGTAGAATGCGTGTATGTTATCAGTTTTTATGATCAGGTCCATGGAGCAGCAGCCATTTTGTGCACCTGCATGACGCACTGGGCACACCTTTATTACAAGCCGAAACCAGCGCATGACTCACTGCAACCGAGAAGCACCACTCACAGAACTCACAGCATTGTCTCCCTCCCCTCGGTCATCACGAAAGAGCGCATCTTGTTGATGCACATGAGTAACTGTAACTAAGTTGATATTGGTATTGTGACATTTTACATTCAATGAGATGAGTCTAATTTACAAGAAAGCACAACGACAGGAAGTACAAGAACAGTATGAATCTAGGATGCACTTAAAATAGGATACAAAACATATTTGATAAATCTGTATATCGTTAACAACTCATCATAATTTAACATACTCTTTCTGATTTAATATAGAAATAGATGTACTGCCTATTTGTGCATCACATGTTTTGACACAAATACAATGATTTAAATCAACAAGCACAATGGATTGTGAATGGAAAATAAGCAACAATGATAAAGAGATGTTGACACATCAATGATTACTTTATTTTATCCAGGGCGCGAGTTTATTTCACATTTTAGTGGACATGTTTGTGAACACATTTTCTGTTATGAAACTTAATTCTATTGCGGTACATTTGCAGTACAGTGCAAATGTCTGTATTTGCACTGTATTGTGTCATCGTGGACAGATGGAGGAATACTGAGGAAATTTCCACGTATTTAAGTAAGATTAAGTTAGATGGAGGCTTTCGCCTATAGTGCATGTTGTTGGGTGGTGGGAGGAACCCGGAGCGCCCAGAGGAAACCCCCGAATGTGGGAAAAATATGCAAACTCACTGAGAAAGGTTTGGGATAGAACCCACAACCTTCTGGGTGTGAAGCATGACTTTCAATCACTTCACAGTTGATTTATTTGGTCTGGCCCCCAGTGTGTGTTTTGTGATGTCTTAATGCACAATGAAACTATTCCAGACCACTGACTACACTTTTTTGTTGAACATGGACTAATGCGCAAAAACCTTGTGAAAACGCTTCAGACCCCATTAACACCATTGGGTGGATGTGTGTTGCCTGTGGGGCTAATATCTCTCAGTGTAAAACATGCACTAGGCATGAAGACCCCCAGGCATTTGCACTCAGACTGTCGCCTGATGTTTTCAGATGGAGTCCTGTTTGGTTTCTGGACATGAATGGAGCTTTGTGTTTGAACAGAGGCCTATTGCTAAGAGAAAAAAAGGTCTTTACATTACATTACAGTATAGGCCTAAATTGTTCATGCTGTATCAGTAAATAAAATAATACATACCTCTATAGATTTTTCTATGCATAAAACCAATATAATTTATATCAATGTAATTACTATTTACTACATCAAGATGTATTTTTTATTAGTAATCTGCATTAGATAGATATAGTTATACACTGCAAAATGTGGCTAAAAAAACAAACAAGAAAAAAAGGTTACAATTAGAGGAAATGCACTTAATCATGATTATTCCATTTGTTACGAACAACATTAGCAAGAATATTATTAAAAAGTTATATATTATCAGCCTGCATGAGGAAGAAAGTCAAAATGAACACATGTGATTAGATAAACACACTCAAATCAAGGAAACTACACTATAGTCTAGATTTTCACTTTCCGTTGTAGATACTTCATTGACCCTCGTAGGAGAAATCCAGGTGTCCAGCCGCAGAAACACATCCATCCATACAAACAAATAATTACATGAGGAGCAGGACAGGTCACAGTGGCACAGTGTCGCCGCTGGTGAGGAGCTGCTTCTTATCCTTTGGTGGATGTTTGCAGAGTCTGCTTTTGTTCGGACCATTTTCTCTACTCTGGTTCAGAGGGAAATTCTAAATGCTTTATTATCATTGTTCAACAGCAAAAAATAGCATTGCACAGCACTTACCATTGATCTGCTTGGTTTGGACCATGCATCCTCTCAGCTCAGTGTAAAACCATGAACACTGTACTGCAGTCAAATTTACAGCTATAAATTTAAGATCAAGCTTTCAGAACTACTTAGGATTTGCTGCCATTTCCAGCGCATTCAAAAGTAATGCTATGTGCCATATGACAGTTAATGGCATATAGAAGGATTTTATAAACTCGGAAGTAGAAAATCCTCCTAAATGTATATGTATGAAAATCTAACTTTATAAACATGAATTTCCCCCTCATGATTGGATGGAAATCCCAAAAAAATATGTTTGCTAGATATGCTACTTCTGGAAGATTATAACCAAAGAAGCAGCGTTTCCATGTGAACAAAGCCCCTCCTTCAGGTTTGCGAAGATGCAAGCCCTGCAACTATTTTTGTCTATTTATTTTGGCTGAAACACTACAGATATCAGGGTTCAACCAGCTCAGTGTTAAATGCTGCATGTTTTATGTCCAGCTCTAACAGTATAGTCTATCTCTCCGTCTCACATTCCAGAAGAGGACAAGCTGATATGATGTCTCTGCTCTACAATACTGTGCTCTGTGTCTGCCTTTAGCCCCTCGCCGCACACACACACCACAGGAAACAGGCCCATTGTCCCTCTGAGAGGAAGCCGGTCAAAGCCGGGCTCTGGACTGATGGAGACACTATGGTCAATTATTAATCGTGACTTACAAATGGAGACACTGTACTGTGGCCTGGCCTCATGATGGATGTGCGGCCAAATGGACAGTGCAGTGAAAAAGTTAGCAGACAATAAGTTTTAGATATATTTACAGTTGTTTTAAACTTTACTAAGTTCAGCTTGGAATGTATAATACTAACACATAAGACATAAGACTTAATCAAAACACTTGTTATGGGACATTGTTGATAATTTTTTTGAATAAAATGTAATGCCTCTAATTTTATATATATGTATAGCAGGTGAAGGAAAGACAAGGATAAGGAAGAAGGTTTGTGACTATTATTATCCGTGTTGAGAGTAACCAGTGACCAGTTACCCATAATGTTAGGATTCGGGTTTAATGGTTTAGGGTTTATTTTTGAAAGTAAAGTAACTCAATAGTGTAATATTGTTAAATGGGTAATATATTGGGCGACAGTGGCTCAGTTGGTAGAGCACTGGTCCATCCCACCATGACCCATGTCACCTGCTCCCACTGATGTCTACTGTCGCTGTGTCCCTGGGCAAAACACTTAACCCCACATTGCCTGAAGTCCGCTGAAATACCAGGGCTATGTCTATGATGATGGAGAAGCCATCATCCTGTGGACCCACTACCTGCAGGAGGATCAGAGAGGGACTGGTGTTAAGAGACTTGGGTAGCAGCTCTGACAATGACATGATGACATGACATGGCTAATATATTACGATTTTGCAACTCGCAAAGTTGCATGCACAATTTTTGCAAGAACAATTTCCCCTCATCTTCTGCAATTATTTGAGAAAAAAATCTGCTCACACAGTGGATATAACTTGTGGGTATTTATGTGTCCTGAAAAAGCAAAAGTATTTAAAACAACATATAGACAAATGCCAGTCGAACACTATCAGCTTGTGACATAATTAGAGTTCTGGGCCCAAAGTAACTCATAGTACCTACAAGTAATGTTACATTTAAAAAATAGTCATATTGCGAATTATTTTTGTAATCCCAGTTACATGTCAGGGCGACCGTAGCTCAGTTGGTAGAGCATTGGCCTTTGGGCCTGAAGGTCGTGGGTTCGAGCCCACCGTAAGACCTACTTCACGACTCCCATTGATGACTGCTGTCGTTGTGTCCTTGGGCAAGACACTTAACCCTACTTTGCCCAAAAGCCCCAACTGAAAGATCTCAGCTCCTGTGGACTCACCACCTACAGGAGGATCAGTGAGGGGCTGGTGCTATGTGTACTGGGTGCAGCTCTGACTGCCACCCCCCTGACCCAGAAATGGATTAAGGGGAAGAAAATGGATGGATGAATGGATGGATCCCAGTTACTAGAAATGTATATAATAAGATTTTAGAGTAACTTACCCAACACTGTTATGATTCGGATGTGCGTGTTTTTGTTTTGCATAATTTTATTATAGAGTACTGCCAGCAGAGGGAGACACAGTTCGACAAATGTATACGTGGGGTTTTCGCAGTAAAATGTTTGGTGCCTGTAACTTGTAGTGAACATTACAAAACATACAGATGCCTCGTGGGCTTGTATGGCCATGGCAATGCATCCACATTTGTCCTCAGGGCATTACAATATAATTATATGTATACTGTAATGCGTTTAAAAAGTTTACCAGAATATGTTTTTCTAAGTTCAACAGTACTTTTTGCATTACTCCCAGTCACGAGATCACACCGAAAGATCAGTGCGTTTTCAAAATACATAAGGAGAATTTGTTTTTTTGAGATATACTCTGAATTGAACTACATCTCCCATGATGCTCTGCTTTGAAGATGACCGAATGGAGCAGAGCGCAACAGCTCCCAGTTTACGAACTACAGCGCAGAGAAATGCGATCCAACCCAGACATGGCTGCTTTAATGTGTAAGTAAGACCTCTTTCCGCTACTTTGAAGATATATCCTTCATGTGTTTCAGTGTTTTTGTCACTGTCACTGTCATTTTTGTCCAAATTTGGTCAGGGGAAATTTCCATGAAACTTCTGGGTGGGATCTGGCCAGTGGAAAAATCACCTCCGATGTAGCAAGAAAGATACAGTTTATGCTTTTTCATTTGGTCAAAAAGTAACTCGGATGTCATTGTATATTTAGTGTTATGTTGTGTTTGTCTTTACATCGGTCCATTTGGTTTTGTTGATGTTGCTAACTTTGCTAATGCACATTTCAAATGCACTGGAAATGACAGCTGCACATATTCTTGGTCGAATATCCCATTTGAAAAGTTGTCTCTCTGTGTTTTATATTGGTGCTGTTGTGTGTTGGTGTTCCTCTTAGATTGAAAGTTTAAGTAGATTAATCATCAGCAGAGTAGATGACAGAGGATTTAGTCCAACAATGGGACAGTGACAGGAAGGTGCAGCCTCACTTCACAAATGTAGAGGTGGGTCCTGAATGGCACCTTTGTTTTCCCCTCATACATCATACAGTGTGCAGCTAACATGAGAGAAAGACCTGTAAATTAGGTCAGACTCCCCACTGCTGTGTGCAAACAGAAATATTGTTGTGAATGTGTTCAGATATTATAATAGATCCATGGTTCAGCTACTGAAGACTAACTCAGAGCAAGGAAGTGAGTCACTCCCTGTGTTCTGTTGTGTTTAGGATATCCACACAGAAAGAAGGAATACAAACACGGGTCAAGTCCAAGCAAAACGAATAAAGTGAATCGATTAGTTGCAACAAATCAATTATTAAAACAGTTGTTAACTAATTTAATAATCAATTAATCGTCATTACACAGTCAAAACATACTGTTCACTTTTAGTGAAATGTATTAAAAATCCCATATTTGAGGCATTTCATGGACTAATAGTCAGGGTGAATGTGTGTTGTGCGAATGTGGGACAACAGATGCAAATTAGCCCATGGCTACAATCTGGAGAGGTGTGTTCGTTAACATGCACTGTCCCAACCAAATAAATCCATCCATCCATCCATTTTCTGCCCCTTAACCAGCCCCTCACTGATCCCCCTGCAGGTGGTGAGTCCACAGGAGACTTGAATATTCAGCAGGGGCTTCAGACAAAGTGGGGTCAAGTGTCTTGCCCAGGGACACAACGACAGCAGACATCAGTAGGAGTCGTGAAGTAGGTCTCGTGGTGGGCTCGAACCCACGAGCTTCAGCTTAAAACGTATTGATTAATCAGTAGAATATTCGTCCAACAAATTGATTTAAATGATTGTTAATTACAGCCCTAGTGCAAAGTTAGAGTTAAAGTTAGAATTGAGATACACAAGGACAGACTGTGTATCTTAATTCTATATCTCCCTGACTTATCAACCCGTCATTATGGAAACACAACAGTTGTTTGTTGTCAGTATTTTTAGCTGCTTTGAGGTTTTGTTTGGTACCACTTTAACAATCAGTGAGACCTTCTGTAAATAGCGTCATGACCTGTTACTATGCAGGGGACTCGTGCCTCAGATGTCCTCACATGCTGTCTTGTGACAAACAGAAATAGTTGGGGCCGGAGCTGATTTGAAATAATTTTACCAATTGTTTTGTGAATTATTATATATTTTTTATTTGCGATGGCAGAGTTCTGACAATATTTTTAATAAGATTTTCCCCCAAAATAAATGCAATTAATCTTTATTTTTTTTTACATAATCAATTATGGTCTTTTTCTATACAGAATAAAGGATGATTGATAATGGACTTCCTCAGAATTAATTTAAAATTCATATTTGAGATTTTTATACATTTGGTTAAGAAATAGCTGTGTGACAGTTAAAAAACATTTAACATTAACATTTAAGTTAATACAACTAGAAAAGTCTTCTTAGATTGCAAACCTCAACCATGAGTTTCCATTCCTCTCCATTCCTTAAAATAAATCCTGGATCCAGTTGGTGATCTTCTGATACATGACACATTTTTTTCTGTTTCATTTATTATGTACAAAGTAATGCACTGTATAAGTTTTAAAATCATACCTCTAAGTGCTGTCTGTCTATAAATCATTAAATCATTTAATTTGTGGATTAGCTGTGATTAATTGATCGTTGAGCTTCACTTCAAATAAAGCTCTATGCATTTGTTTTAACTAGGTCTTTTGTCAGTTAATCTAGGTGTAATTTACAAAATTATAATTGGAATTACAGTACAGCCTCAGTTAATCATAAAACCATACAATAATAATTACAGCTCTCTCCATAATCAGGCTCAGTTAAAATGACACGTAGTGTGTGCAAATCAGTAACTTGTGCTGCAGACAAACAATAGATTTGAATAATACTGGCCAGTCATAGCTTTGATGCAAACACGGACTGAGGAGGACATAAGGGTGCTCTGATATGTACTTTTATAAACTCTGTACAAACACGCTGACACAACAGTCCCGGCTGCTTTCAAGTTGCTTTTATCTGCAAAGTCTGTCTCTGGCACTAATATACAGCACGTCTATCAGTCTCAGGTCCACTCCTCCCCCTCTTGCCCCGCCTCACTGCTCTCTGCCTTCTCCAGGACAAGTGCAGCACGGGACAGAAGCCGGGAGAGCTGCCTGCACTTCTACATTAAAACATTATTTATATGGGACAAGCTCATGAGAGGGCCCACGTCTTCCCCTGGACGCCACACGAGGGTCAACTTCTTCATTTGAACTGTAAGTAAAGTATATCCACTGTATGGTATTATTGGAGAGGATGTGGCTGTCAATGTTATTAGCATTGTAGCATGCTGTTGTTCAATGCTGTGGTTGTGTTTTCATCGGTTGGTGGCACAGTAGACGTGGAATGATGATATTTACTAACATGTGGTGGTCTGGGTTAAAGCTAGGTTCGAACCATAAAACAATCCATCCTTCCATTTCCAAGTTCTCCAAAGTAGAATAACTAGTTTTCACATCTGTCACAGCTTCTACATCAGCTTCTTCAGCCATATTCAAAGCTTATATTTGAATCAAGATGAGAAACCTTTGCTTTTACATTATCAATGAAAAAATGACAAACTAGGACATTACCTTGGCCTAGAATTCAATTGAATGAATAATAGTTTTAAATATAGCTATTTGTTCTTAATATGTTTTGAGATTTGTAAAGAATAACTAAAGTCTTACTGCTGTGCATGAATTCATTTCTTCAATTCAAAGTGCTTGTGCCATTTGTGAAGAGAGAAATGTTTGCAGCAGGAAAACCAGTGTTATAATAAATGATAATGCATTGGTTTTGTGATTTTTATTGGAATTGTTTTATTGTATCCTTGTTGTGTGAATACAAGTGGCATTTCACTTTAACATAGAACTTCATACAAGTGGTAATTCTTTGGTAGAGAATGTTTTTGTTAAATGTTGCTGACTGTTAAGTAATCTTATTAGATTTCATTAGAGCGTCTTAGCAACTCTTGATATTGAACAATGTGCGCCTTTGTCCTCAGTTTCTGCATAAAGGCTAAAGTACTGTGTCCTACAGCAGTAACTCTAGTCCACTTTAGCGGAGAAGCCGTCAGGAGTAAGTTATAGGTGGACATTTGGATGTTTGGGAGCTCATGAGCCATGGAGAGAAGGCTGGATTGTGATACAAGATGCATAAAAAATCTCTATACAATTTGGTGTTCGTTGTTTCAAAGATGGATTTGAGTAATTTCAATATGGACATTGTTTATAGTCATAACTGGCAGAAAGGTCTGTCTTACCCCATGATAAATATTAAAACATATTTCTTCAAACCTGCATATACAGCTCACATAATCTCACTCTGGTTTTATTATTTATGTTTCATGCAAATCTTCAATCTCAAGAACACTTTTAAAAGGGTGTTTTTGCACAACTTTATTAGACTGGCACAATGTCGTCTCTCTCAATATTAGTATCACAACACTGGTCCATGTGGGCCGCCCCATGTGCCACTTTCTCTGCTCTTGGAGGTCCTGTCCAGATTTAGCGCTGCAGTTGTCATGCTGCATTCTTGGACTCGACTCCATACAAAAAATCATTCCACAATTGATTCACAAGTCAAATGTAATGTTTTATGTTCAATATTTATCCTTCTAAACAGTTATGAACAGTTTTATAATCTAACCTCCTCAAGTCCAGCTCCTGGCATGGACTGGAGACAGACGGGTAATGATTTCATTAAACTAGTTTTTAAATGATAACATGTAATATCATTTAAAAAAAAAAAACCTGGTTTGAACTTTAACCACTTCATCATCTTATTTATTTATCAACAGTAATTCAGAGAATCAAACATTTGAAGCAGTAATTGACCAAAAAAGTATCAAATTAGAAAACCAAGTCCTTAAAAGACCATTTACTGCTATAATTATTGACAAAGGGTAACTAATGCAACACATTGTAGTATATTTAAACCGTGTTTTGGTCTAATATAAGTTAATGTTTAATCCTCGTGTCTTTGCTGCCTCAGTGCTGGAGATAAGAGTATCCTGCTTCCTTACAGTAATCATTTTATACAGGGGTGTCAAACCTGCGGTCTGCGGGCCACATCGGGTCCATTTTAGTGGCCTCTGGACTGATTTTCAGTTTTTACCTCCACCATGGAGCTCATGTTCTCCTCTGATTTGTTTGTCTTTTAGTTTTCAACAAAGATGTAATCATTCCATTTTGTAGGTGATCAGGATCACCGCTTTGATCCAGAAATGAATGTGCTTTTCTAGTTATTATTAACTTGTGAGAATTGATGGCATGGGCTACCATGTCATGTTATACATCATTTTTAAGTTAACTCATTTAAACAACCGTATTATTAATTATTTAGGTAAGTAAGTCATCATTATTTATCCTGCGGATTTCACAAACCAGAGTCTCAAAGCGCTTTACAATTGTTGTGGGCATTTGTCTCTCTCTCCACACAGAGATGGGAGCAGGGTCGCCATACAGGAGGCACATGCCTTAATATATCATATTCTAACCATTGAACCCATAATACAGATAATAATAGTAAAATAAAAAATACTTCACATTATAACTAACAATCTGCTATCTCCAGAAAACAATATTCCACACTATTTAAACGAGAGCGTGCACTCAGAGCGCATACCCCGCCAAGGCCATGGATTGTCAAAAATGATTAGCATAAGGTCTTTCTACCAGCTCATCTGGTCACACACATCCCAATGTTTTTGCACAATCTTGCCAACAAGCAACCAACACACATTCAGAGGAGCCTGTGGAGTCCATATCCCACAAGTTACACCGTGCACCTTTAGATTCTTTATGATTTGTCATTATACATGTAAAGATATTGGTCACACTTAAGTAGTTTAAAAGCATAATAAATTATAATATACAATATCATATATTGTGTGGTTGAACTTATATTTAACGTTATTGCTACGTGGTTGATTTGTTCACTGTGTGAACGTCACAGGAAGAGCACATGACTTCATTCAGATGGGCTTCAGAGAGGCTCCGTGACAACGCTGTGTTCTGTGGTCGCCTCTTTATCTCCAGGGCACTTGTCCTCAAAGCCACATTGATGCATTAAACCAAATTATCCATCCATCCATCCATTTTCTACCCTTTAATCCATTTCTGGGTCAGGGGGGTGGCAATCAGAGATGCCACCCAAGTCTCATAGCACCAGCCCCTCACTGACCCTCTGCAGGTGGTGAGTCCACAGGAGGACAGCTGCTCTCTGACTGTGAGCATAGCCTTGATCTTTCAGTGGGGGCTTTAGGCAAAGTGGGGTTAAGTGTCTTGCCCAAGGACACAACGACAGACATACGTGGGAGTCGGTGGAGAAGATGTCAAGGTGGGACAGTAGCTCAGTTGGTAGAGCATTGGCCTTCAGGCCTGAAGGTTGTGGGTAAACCAAATTAAGTATACTATATTTTTCTGTGATTCATTTGTTTGTAGATTCGTTAAACAAATATATCACTGAAACTGTTGAAATTGAGAATATGGTCACATTTTATAAATATGAAATGTGAAATATGAAAGGTTCCAGAATAGCTTTTGAGTTTAGCAAAACCATAGTGAAAATATATTTTACTTATTATTTGTTTATTGTCATTTTGGCAACTGTATTTTTTGGTTGCTAAAACTTTTAGCCTTTTCCCCTCATTGTTTTACTTATGCGCTTTAAATATTGATATACAAAATAATTCCTAAAGATTTAGTGCATTTGAGCAATATTTAAATGATTTTTTTTTATCAATGAGGGGAAACCCTTTGTTTTGATGCTTATTTTGTAACAGACCGCACTAAATGTTTAAAACCTTCTGTGCCTCCTCATTCATCTCACAATCACTGCTGTGTGCCTGCACTCTCCTGAAGGGCAATGTTTGCACAAAGTACCTACCCTTTACCTCTGCAGGAAAATCAGTCCAGACTCCAAGGTCAAAGAAAATGCTCTTTGTCTTTTTATGTTGACAAAGTCTTAAATGAAAATGTAACGTTTATGATTGCATTTAAAGTGTCATATTTGCTCCTAATTGTGTAAATGATTAGTACAATAAATATATCTATCCCTGTGCTGTAGCTGCTGAGGATCAAACAAGCTGGATATCCCAAAGAAACTGAAAACCCAAATGAGAGACTAATTCTGCTGTCTGATTGGATAATACATGAACAATTAAACCATCATGTATTTTCAGTTTAGTTACCTTTTTTAAGTGGGAAAAAAAACATCTAAAAAGGCCAAATATGTTTTTTATGTGTTTATCTTGTGTCCTGGGAAGTTTAAAATCAAAACATTCTATGATGGTGTCTATAAGTGTGTGTTCATATTTGATTTCAGATCCACAGATAATCGCTGTGTGTATGAAAAGTGCCCTATCCTATTACTCCACTGACCGTTTTTCCTGGCACAGTTAAAGGACAATGACACAAAGGAGAAGGAGAGAGCTCATCATCATGTCCCTGGTGTAACCCATATAGTGTCACAGTCTTTGCATGGTTAACCACCTCAACAACAGGAGCAACAGGAGCTGACAGAAGGGCTTCAGGAGGTGCTCGTGGGAGACCTCACCACAATCCAGGCCTTATGCTAAAGTAACTGTAGAAGACAAATAATACAAAGAATTTAAAACGATTTTTTTATCCCGTGACATTTTAGTAAATAATAACATAATGGAGTCTGGACATTCATTTTCAACAATACCTGTTTACTGTGAATACATTTTACATGAAATAAAATATGATCAAATGAAAGTAAATATTAATTGATTTCGTGCATTTCACAGACCAGGGGCACACAAAGCGACGCTTTTTGGTGTAGGATCCATGCTATATTACTTGTTTATATGAGTTTGTATTTAGAATTTGTGCTGAAGTAAATTGGCTGCACATGTGATTGAATCAAGTGTATCCAGAGTTGGTAAAGAAGTGGCAGCTCTACAGGGGGAGGAGCTTGTGGACTATAGGCTTCATTCAATGCTGTGTACATTGTGGCGTGTGCACAGCTGTAGTCCCTGTGTCTGTCACATGTTTGCTGCTGTAGTCATCTCAGTGAGAGCCCAGCCTGTTCTGACTGCCAGGTTTTATTGACTGCAATAACTGCTCGTGAATCAAGTGTCTTATTACGGAGACGAAATGTTACCCCTGGGTGTTCCTTTTTCATTCTCACTTTGCCAAACAACTAAACTGAGGCATAAACAAGCCCTCTACTCATTATTTGCGCACTTGTGTACAGTCTCGTCATGTGGGGTGGTGCCTCTTATGTTGCCTGCATTACCTGATCTGAGATGTGCTGCAGGCTCCAGTAACTTGAGCTGTGTGACCTAAAAACACACACACTGTGTTTTGTTCTGTCAACACAAGGCTTCAAACCCAAAAAGACTGGATAAAATATAAAAAAATGTGATCAAAATGACATAATTACTTCATTAGCTTCATACAGTGGTGTTGATCCAGGACATTTATGGACTTTTATTAACATTTATCATTGGTCTTCCGCCTCTTATATAAAATGCCTCGTATGAGTTCTGTCGGAAATCGATAACGTTGTGAATTCCTCCAAGATACTACTGTTGTGATTTAAGGCTAGACAAATAATTTAAATTGAGTTGAATTAATGTAAATATTTCAGCCTAACCCTTTTGATCTGTAAAAATGGTTTTTAATCAAAAGTCAGTCATAAGATGAGGGTTTCCGCCTGTGTTAGTGATCTTGTGTTTATCTTTTGTTCTTCAGGCCTCACTGCAGCTGCTGATGCCCCGGTGTCCTGTCTCCTTTCCCCTTTTCACATCTGGATTTCATACTGACCCCTCTAATCTCGCTCAAACTGTCCCAGCAAGCCTCCACTGCACAGGGCTGTCCCGTTTCTCTTCTTCCCTGGCCGCAGCAGCCCCCCCTGGACCCCCACTCAGCCTTCTGCCTCCATGAGGGGCGGGAGAAGCTGGCGGAGGCCTTGTGTACGGGGCCCCTGCCTCTTCTGCTCAATGCAGACGGAAACCTGCGCGATGGAGAGCCTCTGTGTCAGGATGTGTCCACAATCACTGGTACACGCACTCCCAGACACATGATCACACGCACACATAAAGACATCCATGAAATGAGATGTTCACATTTGATTTGTAAACCCTAATGTTGTCTTAATTTGGTCCTGTTCCAGTCCGTCTTTAATCTTGCTATGTGCTAAATCTGTGAAATATTAAAAGCAGAGTTGATTTGAACTTCATCCTCATTTACTATGTTTTTGCACAGTACCATTTTTTTCTACTTAAATGCACATGTCGGAACCTGTCACTAGAGGGCATCATCACATTGTTGGTAGCAACCATCCTGTTAATAAATGTTCTTTGTTTCATAAAATGTTTTCAAATCTCCACAGATCTGTGTTCAGAAATCCCAGAGTTGGAGATAGTAAGTCTTCTGTCAGAAGGACAGCCCAACTACACTCTGCGAGCCGACAGTGTGTTTGGATATGACAATGATGACTGGCTGCACACTCCTCTGGTGCCTCCAGAGGTCGTCCTTGGTCTCACATGTGAGCAGATTGAAGAGACGTTCAAGTACTTCTGTGAGTATCTTTTGGCTTCATACAAAACATACATTTCTCTTATGCACTTGCAAGACATTCTCAGGGATACATTTTGATATGTCAATGAACATCCCAATTCATTGCATTCATGCCACTTTGATTATATCCTATGATTTCCCCCTTGCTGCAGGTTGATTAGACTTTCTTTAGAATATCGCTCTCATGTAAGTGGATCTTCAGGTAGTTCAGCCAAATCCTCAGAGCAGCAGATTCTTGCACACAGACATTGACCTGCAGTGTGACCCTTAATCCCACTTTACTCTGTGCCGCAGTCGCAGTCAAACATTTGAGTGTCTCAGGGGGCAGAAGTCACAGAGCCGATTAACCTGCCCTCACTTTGAGTCCTAAGCAGTTTGTGGATCGTGGCAGACGGCACTCGCCCCACCGACATCACAGCAGCTGTTTCACTCACTTTATTATTAGGTACAGAGGTCGTCTAGACCTGTGGGTGACCTCAGATTATTGCCACACACATGCTCCTTTTAGCTACTGGGTATTGTGTTTCTTTCAATTTAATCTTTTACGATTATATATTAACAAAAAAGTTATGGTTTTTGGACTTTTTGATGCACTGAAATAAGCCAAATCTCATGCATCGTTACTGTGTGGGATTGCATCTCCAATTACACTGACAGAGGAGTTGGCTGCGGGAAGGCCTCTTTTCCAAGAAATTGTCTTTATAGTATAAGATGAAATAAAATAAAGTTGCACACTTTTTATTTTGAAGTAAATTGGCTTGAATGTAGAGCAGTAGGCAGAGCTCCCACAGGCAGACTAACCTCTGCTCTCTGCAGATTGTGCGACACGACAGATTTCTGTCATATGTATTTCAGAGAATATAATCAAGTTATTTTGTTCGGGAGTGTTTGGTCCTTTCCTGATTTTTATGCCAGATTAATTTTCATCCTTTATTTGACCAATTTTATGGCTCTGACTTGATCCAAAGGCCAAGAGGAAAGGACACTTCCTTTCTATCCCTTGCCATAGACGAGGGGCAAAGGGAGAGGAGTGAGATTAGAAATGAAAGGACCATCAGGTGTTGATATTGCGCTGTTAGAACGCGTCTTGCCAAATATGCTCTAAAAAGCTCTATATAAAACACATTTTTGTCACCAATCTGAAACAACAAGCCATTCAGTAAATGATAAAACAAAATACATAAGCATGTTGAGCACTGAAATCCTCGTTGCCCTCTTAATCCTGTTCTCTGCTGCGTTGTGCCCCTCATCCCCTCTCCTCCTCAGCCCCCTGTGAGGTGGGCGTGTCTGTGTCTGCAGCAATGCTACACAGCTCCTCTCTGCATCGACCCGCTCCTACGTCTGCGTGCTGATGCAGCGCTGGGGGGACCTACCATGTGCTTTTGTTGCGCGGGGGTGGGTGGTCCTGTATAGAAATGCAAAATTGCTTCCTAAAGCGCAATCGTTTTGTAGAGTCTGCACAGTGATTGAAATTGGTGGATAGCATCGGTTTATTAGGTTGTGACTTTAGCAAATTGACATCACTGGTTGCTGAAGGAATTTGCTCCATCCTCAATCCCTCCTCCTCTTCCTCACTAGTCCGTCTTCCCGGTAGTCCAACGTGGCCAGGTAAACGGAGGCAAGCATGACGACATATGGCAGCGAGAGAGAGAGAGAGAGAGAGAGAGAGATAGAGATAGAGAGAGAGGGATTACATGTTTCCACCGACAACACAAGTGCAGATATACTCTCACATAGGCAGGCGGACAGTGCGGTGCCTTCAGGACCGCTTGCATCCGGAAAGCTTGCAAAAATTGAGGAATTACTAGAGTTTTGGAAATCTACAATATCATGGAAGTGTGGAGCTCCTCTGAGGACGATGAGGAGAAACTGACAGCTCCTTCCATACTCTTGACTGCGGACGTTTTGGTCACAGAGGAAATAAAATGCCTGAATATGAATAATAATAACAACAATAACAATAGGGGCCTTTGCACAGAGGTGACGCAAGGTGAGTGTTTGTTGGATGGAAGACAAGGAGAAGGTTAGCAGTGGTTGGATTTGATGGAAATGTTTTGCAACAATCAGTTGAAAGGATTGGCTTATGTTAAATGTTGTATCTGAATGTGCTTGCTTGACTTGTAAGGACTCAAACTAATCTAGTTTTGTGCTGACAACCTCAGAGCTGCAGTAACGAAAGTCATTGAGGACTCATATTTCAAACTCACCCTGTTACCGGTCTCGTGACAGATGCTGCACATGTTTAGTTATTGTTATGTGATTTCCAGTTTCCAAGGTCACTCTGCCAATGAGTCAGTAACGTAGAAAGTCAGTATACAAATTTTTGCACTAATTTTTGCACTAATCTTCATTATGACCTTTTTATCAGGGCCACGCTGTCTTGTGTAGAATTCAGTCCTATCATGCGTTTTCAGTTTGTGCCACTGGCCCAGTTTCAGAACAGTCGGTTTACACTTTTTGTATTGTTTCGTAAGACGACTGCTTTTCCTTCATTTGTCCTTTGTGTCACAGGAGTCTGTGCAAATTCTCCTTCTGCAACACAGGAAATACTGCAACACAATTCATTTGGTATTGACATTAGGAACATTGTAACTCATTACACTTAAACATTGAACACATACCTCTCATACTATTATTGAAATGCATGATTTTTTCTTAAAATTTGGTGATTTATAAAAAAATTCAATAATGTAAATGTAAAAACCCACATACAGACGCAGGTCTATTTAATCTTTGTACGTCATAGAAGTTGATGATGATGCCCAGCTTGGTCAGGAGCTCTATAGTACAGATGGAGAATATGCAAACTCTTCTCCTTCTTGCTAAGATGCAAGAGTTCCACAAGAGTGTTGTGGATGTGTGCTGTAGATGGTTCTAAATTGGCAATTTCCACAGAAGTCATCACCCACTGTTGGCAAGACTCTGAGTCTTGCCAACAGTGGGTTGCCTCCTTGTAGACACCAAAGCTTTTGGGATTCATCAGCCCAGCCAAGAGAATCCTCAAAAACGGTCACATTTTATTTGTAGTTTTTATACTTGGTATTGACTTATATCTAATTGACTGTAGTTTTGACTCCCAAGCCTGCCCAAGAGGAATATAAGATATTACCGTGAGATGACTTATGCAAAAATATTGTGTCCTTTGGCATGACACTCCACCACCATTTCCTCATAAATCTGGTCCATAAAAGTTTGTGAAGGTCAGAGAAACCATGGTGCAGTCTGTGTCCTCAGTCTGTGTTTACATTATCGCCCTGTATAGAATTAGACTGTCTGTTCCTTATAGATAAAGCTCACTTACTGTACTTACTCGAATGAGAGAGATCAAGGAGATCTGTCTGACCATAACAGACGTCATAAGCTTCATCCATAGGAAGAGTATTACAGGACAATAGCACCAGGCTGCATTTAGCGTAGCCTCAGTCTAAACCTCTCCATGGCTTTGTGGCCTCACTTTTTCTAATCTCTTTGGGGCAGTCGGCTCAACAGGAAATATATTCTGTCCTGCCCCGACACCATCATATTTGTTCTATTATTTTGCGAGTTCTTATTTTTCACCCTATTTTGACTTCACCTTTAACCCTTTACACTCCCTGCCAATTTGCATTTACTGGTCCTGATTCATTCCAGAATGAAACAAGTCACTGTGTATTTTCTCTGGATTGTTTTACTCACCATGACAAGTGGTGTCACCTGGTTGTTTCCATGGAGAAGGATACATTAATCTGATACTATGGAATATTCCAGTCAAAACTATAACATCCATCAACCAGGTGACAAACGCACTATTGGAAAGTTGCATTGTGCACTTTATACCAGAGTGTGTTCACAGTAAAGTGACAATTGAAGTATCTGGACTTTAAAAGGTTATAACTTAAAAACTAAAATTACTTTCATAGATTGGAAAAAAGATTTCAAACACAGACACATTGAAGAGATAGTGTGGAAAAAATCAAAAGGAAAGATTGACATAAAAATGTTTAGCAACATTTTAAACGACCAAATTAGCCTCTGATTGGACCATTCTACTGTGACGCCAGTTACATAGAAAATAAAATGTCCTCAGTCTGAAAAAGCAGAAGATGAAATCCCACAAGATTTACATGGTTAACACAACATAAGTAAATCACTTGATATAAAAAGGAATCGTGAAAAAATAAAAATGTATTAATTAATTAAATGACCCCTGAAAAATGTATAACGGACGTGATGAGGACAGTCCTCTTTTCTCTAAAAATTAAACTTGAGAAAAAAGAAATCTGGTCTGTTTTCACATTTAATTGCTTGACAATATGAAAGTATCAGTTTGCATCTACTTTGTGTAAAAAAATAGAATCTCTGAATCAAATGTGGACATCTGAAAATACCTATCAAACTTCCACAAAGCTCATTCCGTCAAATCATCACGTCCGTTACATAGAATAAACAGGGCCGCTATAGGAAACTTGTCTAATGTATAAAACAGTTATGTTCTAGCAACTTCTAATGGACAGAGGAGGTGCTTGGAAACATGAAAAACATAAAATATCTTCTGATTATTAAAATCAAATTTTTGGCCTTTTGTCACACTTTTGTGCCCTTTAGTGTGAACAAGCCTACCATACCATAATATTCATGCATTACTTCTGAAATCTCATCCCTTAGTTTATAATGCATAACGTACGGCCTGTTTACATAAAGTTCCGCTCTTTCCATTAGGCCACTAGGACAAAACCCAGCCATAATGTTCCCAGCCAAATTAAAAGTCGTCAATCTAATTAGTTTGAACCTCCCATCTCTCTGAACCAGATCAGCAGCAGACGTGCCAAGAACATGTCGCTCACTCAGGCTTGTGTTGATAGATTTTATCAGTATTTTTCCTGTTCCTGTATTCTGTAGTTTGGTTCTGATGTGCACTTGTTTTATTGTTTTTGTTTTGTTTTTTGCCCATTTAGAACTAGATCTTTAATTGCATTTGTTAAATTGATTCAAGAAAAATGAGCCAAATTGACAAAAGACAAATTGGTGACACCAGACTTTGCCCTTAATCAGAGTGTGTCAAAACAAGTGTAAATGTAAACAGTCAATGGTGGGTAGTAACTGTTGGTGCGGACACGGCTAATTTGGTGTAGGGTAACGAGGTCTTTAATGGAGTCTAATCCGAGCTGAACGGGATCAGGGTGAAGAGGTTTAAGAGGATCAGTATCTGTCCGACCACATGGAGATGTTGTGGTCTGTGGCATTGTAAACGTGAAGTGATTCAAACATATGGCCACGAGAAGATTTACTATGTGCTGAATGAAGAGTAGAAGTTAACAGCCAGCGATAGTTAGAATATCTTAATCCTGTCTGTCAATGAACGCTTCATGACAGGAAAGTGGCCATAGGACCGTGTTCTTTGCATTGGGAAAAAGATTAACATAGATTTCACATTTCAGATAAATTTGTTGGATGGATGCAGTGTATAGTGATGCAGCCGCTGTATCAGACTGTTGTGGTGAAGGGGGAGCAGCGTCTGCATTCAGAGCTGTATCAGACTGTTGTGGTGAAGGGGGAGCAGCGACTACATTCAGAGCTTTATCGGATTGTTGTGGTGAAGGGGGAGCCGAGTCAAAAGGCAAAACTCTCAATTTACTGAGCCTCTCAGTTTTCCCTTCTAAAAGATTTCAAATACAAGTGGCCCTCAACAGAGTGGTTGAGCTCTCCCTTAAGAGATGGAGTGGGGAGCTCAGAGTAGAGCCTCCACATCCCAAGGAATCCGCTGAGATGGTATATGTTTTGAATTCTACCTGGGGAGGCCTCGGAAAGACATATTAGAGGGACTATGTTTCTCAGTGTTATTGTCTTTCTAAAATACATTTGGGACTGTTGCTGCTGACTGGTACATTTTCACAGTTGTGAGTTGGGTTTTTGTTTCTCCAAAAATCTTTCAAACATCTTTTGTATTGTTCAACTTTTTTATGTGTGTGTGTATATTATGTCTATTGTGATAAGTAAACTTCCCTGTATTGTATTGCCAGTGTTTCAGTAAAAATAATTGTAGACTGACTTTGTGGCTTTCTCCCATAGTGCTTTGCTCCGAGCGCTTGGGCCAGGTCACAAAGACGTACCACGACATTAAAGCGGTCACGCACCTGCTGGAGGAGGTAAGACATAATCTGGATTAACAGGATTATTATAATGAGCCTCTATCACACATTGTCGTGGTTGTAAAGTAAACAAATCTGTCTTGTTTGAAATTTCAGAAAGAGCGTGACCTGGAATTAGCGGCTAGAATCGGGCAGTCGCTCCTAAAACAGAATCAAGAGGTGACGGCACGGAATGAGCAGCTGGATGGACAACTTGAAACGGCAAAAGAAGAGGTGAAATGAAAAAAAGAAATGCAAAGCTAGCTCAGTGATGGCACGGGAAAACATGCTAAAATCTGTAAAATATTTGGGTAAATTGGGAAAAAATCATTGTGATGTGAGTGTATCTCTTAAAACCAACTTTCCCTATGGAACAAAATAAGATAATAGACTTTATGGATCTCACAATGGAGAATTTAAATCTCACATTTGGCATAAATAGAATCACTCGGGTTGTGCAAAAAGACGGGAAGTGTGCCAACATGTTAAAAAGTGAAAAAAATAAGTCTCTTTGGCAAGATATATTATGTACAATTGAATTAAAAGTGACTATAGCAGTGCGAGTTTACAGTCCTAGTGCAGGTCATTAAACTTATTGTGCAGTCTGACAGCGTTGGGGATGAAGGCAACTATTTTGTTTTCTACTTCCTTCTTGCTTATTCTAATTTAAGTCCAAAACACTATTGAGTCAAGATACTTCCTTCCTTTCTTTGTGTTTTTTAGGATATTTTGTCATATTTTGCAGTGTTGAAACATATTATTCCCCATCCTTTCAGATCGCTCAACTCCGTCATGAGCTTTCCATGAGAGACGACCTGCTGCAGTTTTACGCCAGCACCGAAGAGCTTGAAAATGCAGAAGCACGTTCGCCGTAAGCAAACATCACAGATCCTCTCAAACTATTACAGTATTTATCTCAAGGTTTGACTAAAGTATAATGTGTTTAAACAGACTGAAACGAAGTGAATCCAGCAGTTCTCTGAGCAGCTTTGTCCACTATGACTTCCTTCAAAAGAAACTCAAAGGTTTAGAGGAGGAGAACCGTAAACTACGAATTGAGGTAGATCACTCTTTCCTTCAGATACATTTTATTCAGTTTGTTTATTAGTTTAGGTAATTCCATTGTTTTTTTTCAGACCAACGAGCTCACGTCTGAAACCACCCACTATGAAGAGCAGGAACAGGAGCTGATGATGGTCTGTGTGGAAGAGTTGTGTGAGTATCATTGACCATAGAGTAGTGCGGTTGTATGTTTTAAAAACATGTGCAGTCCAGAACAGAAAAAGGCACGGCATATATTTAAATCATAGAATCATAAAATGGTCTAGTGGGCCGGATTTGTCCCATTTGACATGTCTGAGTTAGGGGGTTAGCATAGTCCATCTATTTACAGAAATGGACTATGCTAACCCCCTAACTCAGACTTGTCAAACAGGACAAATCCGGCCCACTAGACCATTTTAGTGGCCCCTTAAATACTTTTCACTTATTATTATGGTTATGGGCAACCAAGCCTAGTCATACATCATCTATTTCCTCAGGAAAACAACCACATTCAATTCATTCTAAAACATTTACTCAACACATCATTAGAAGTTAAATGGTTAAATATAGAGCAATGTGTTTAAGTTCATATTTGGTCCCGCTTCTGTTAAATCCAAACAATAAAAACAAAAATAAACGTTTTGATTAGTTTTGGCAACTTTTTGGCAATAGTGAAACTTGTGTCACATTAAAGTCACGTCAAAAGGCCTTCATAATGTTAAAAAAATGAGTAAAAAACAATAATAAGAAAAGCAAATCCCTTCTATTATTTCGGCCCCCAACCTTTTTTATGATTCGGCCCCTGACCAAAATGAGTTTGACATTCTTTACTAACGCATTTTTCATGTGTTTTTTGCAGCGTCTGTGAACAAGCAGGTGGTGGATTTGTCGGAGGAGCTGGCCCGGAGAGCGGAGGATGCGGTTCGGCAGCAGGAGGAGATTAGTTCTCTGCTCGCTCAGATTGTGGATCTACAGGCTCGATGTAAAGGGGTGAGGAGATGGATCATGTTTAGTTTACTGTATATATATTATTCAGTCAACAAACCAAGAACATTTTACATCATTGATTGTTTAACTTCAATCAATGATGTAAAATGTTCTTGGTTTGTTGACTGAATAATATATATACAGTAAACTAAACATATTATTCAGTCAACAAACCAAGAACATTTTACATCATTGATTGTTTAACTTCAATCTAAACTCTTTTGGTCTGTAATTAAAAAACATTTTGATTAACGCTATTAACGAAATGTTGCCTTCCCTTGACTTAAATCGTCAAAGATGAAATCATGATACATATTGCAATTACACTTTGTGGCCTTTCAGAGCAGACTATTTCCACAAGATAGGATCAAATAAAGATGCAATAAACTTTATTGATCTCGCAATGGAGAAATTTACAACGTCTGGTTTTGGATGTTAAAGTGAGCAATAGGAAGGAGAAATACCATTGCCTTTTAGAAACTTGAATAACTGAAATTATGTTGAAAATACAAAATAAATACATGGAAAAACATTTTCATATAATACATTTGGTTCGTGTTTTGAATTGAAATGGAATCACAGGCTCATAAATGAATAACCATTTTTAAAATTCAATTTACAGCTATGTTAAAGTTGTGGCGCCTAATTTAACTATATACGAACCAGCCAACCAGCTCTCAGCCCATAGCATCAGTGACTCACAGGAATCTTTCTTATAAGAATAGAAAAAATAAAATGTTTTATAGTAAAATAAAGAAAGCATATGGTCAGATTGTTCACATTCCCATGGGAGAAAAACATGTATCATTTAAGGGGAGGGAAAGTGAGGTACCCCAGCTTTAATTATACATCCTTTTGCACATTACTGTCATCTAAATGCTAATGTTCTTTTTATTTTGCTTTTGCCTGTAGGTAACCCGTGAGAATGAAGATCTAACCCAGCACCTTAATGCTGCCAGGGAGTGCCAGCTTCAACTCAAATCAGAGGCAAGTCATTTGAATCATCTTTACTTCTACAATCCTGTTTGTTTTAACAGTGATTAATCGTTTTCTGTTGTCTGCAGCTGAAGGACCTGCAGGACAAGTACTCTGAGTGTGAGGACATGCTACAGGAAGCCAGAGAGGACATTAAAAACCTGCGTAACAAGAGCCTGCCCAATGGCACAGTGCAGCGCTACGCGGCCCTGGCCTCTGTGCTGCCCATGGATTCTTTGGCTGCGGAGATCGAGGGCACGTTTAGGAAAGGCCTGGACACGCCAGCGCCTTCAGAGTACAAGTGAGTCACAAACAGCAACAGGTCATTGTAAAAAAAAAAAAAAGACTACTTGAAAACAATAGAAAATGGTAAATGACTAAAACTATTCAGTGTTTTAAGCAACGTTATTCTCACATCGTATAAACACCTGGATTTGTCACTAAAATCATACCTTTTCAGCTCTAAATAGGAACACTGTTGAATTTGCCAAATCTGTAAAGGGAGAATAGAGCTGCAGAGTTTTTGTTCGTCTTTTTAGCTCAATAATCCTCTCTAGATCCATAAATCAACCAATATCATCTATCCTGTGTTTGCCCGAGCCTTGCCGCGTGGTATTTGCAGTTTCCCCTAGTGTCTGGGTGTTCCGGTTTACCACCCCACCAAATACATGCACCATAGAGATGTCTCCCCGAGCGCCGCAGTGCTCCTGACAGGTTGCCCTTAATGTGGCATTGAAAGATGGGTCAAATAAAGAAGACGACTATTAAGAAACTTTTGCAAAGAATACTGCTCTTACACAACATGTTTGTCCTTTGAGATGTTTGAGAATAAAGATTACATCGACTGCCTCTACTTGCTTTCCAAAATATACGGTCTATGTCGTATTATTGTGACTGTGTATATTCATGCAGTCTTCTGTTGATCAGGTCTCACCCGCGGCGCGTGTTCGAAACAGTGAAGGTGGCTAACAGAGCGGTGAAGCTGCGTTCTCGTGGTCAGTCCCCCGCTCTGCCAGGCTCCTCCCCCGCCTCCATCCGCTCCAGCTGCACCAGCACCCCACGCACCAGCTGTTACGGCTACGAAAGCTTCACCCTGGAGGAAAAACCCAGCAATAACCAGTCCCTTAAAGAAGACAGGTGTGGGCCACGTGCATTCACTTGTGTTTCAGAAATACGAATCGTTTTCTGGTGTTATTCAAATGTTTCCACTACTTTTATGAGTATTTAGTCAGTTATATTTATTTGCTTTTATTTTCTGTTCATTTACCTACTGTCCTTCTGCTAGCACAAGGGACTGTCATCGGTCAATCAGGAGTCTGTGTAAAACATGTTTTACACAAACTGCCTGCAGAGGGCTCCAAATACACAATGCTGCTGCAAAGCTGCAGCTCAGCAGCAGTTCAACTTGTTCAGATACATTTTAACTGTACTTTGAAATTGCAAGAATGCATTATAATATATATTTTTATCCCAATATTCATATAACATATTGATACCTTTTTTAAATAAATACATTGTAAATCAAAGCCTTTAATTAAAGCCAAAAGTCTTGCCAACATTTACACAGATGCAGAGATATGTCTCTCCTTGCGCAGCCTTTTCATGGCTATAAATTCTCTTTTGCAGTGCCAGTGGTCCCAAGCGTCTGGGTGAGCCTGGGACCCCTGGTGGTCAGGACCTGGAGGCTGCACTGCAGTCGCTCTCAGCCAGACAGCAGAGCCACTCATCAGACCGACCCTTCTTTGACGTGGAGCGAGAGCGCAAGCTCCGTGCTTTGGCCGGCAACGAAGAGGTGGAAGGCTCCAGTAGTTTCCTGACGCCCAACGACAGCATCGCCTCGAGTCCAGCTGCCTCCACCAGCACCAACTACTCCAACGGTAGCTCCCGCCACTCCTGCAGCTCCTCAGGGGGGTCCCGCTCCTACCTGCCCGACCGCCTGCAGATTGTCAAGCCTCTGGAAGGTAATCTACAAAGATTGTTCTCAAAGATCTCCGTATTTTTTATTTATTTTTCAAAATAAACACACATGCACACAGCTGCTTTGGAAAGTGTCAGGAACTGTTCTATTATACTTACTCTTAACATAAAAGTGAGCATATAAATGTGTCTTGTATATACAGTTTATATACAAAAACTAAAATGTCTTCACTGTGTCTTCTTTTGTGTAGGTTCCGTGACACTGCATCAGTGGCAGCAGCTGGCCAAACCAAACTTGGGGGGAATCCTGCACCCACGACCCGGTGTTCTGACTAAAGACTTCAGAGAGCTGGAGGTGGACATTCAACACGTGTACAGCCTCAACGATCTGGAGGAGGACGAGCCCGACATGTCCCGGGTCACTGCAGCACATGGACCGGGTAACTGCCGCTTTAATGCCATATTATTTGAAAGTTCCTTCTTTTGAGGGCGATGCATTTGAGCGTATTTTATTGAAGAGCAAGTGGTTGTCAAACTTCAATACTATACTAATGTCTAAGGTGGTTAAAAATTAACCTTTTCTTGCATTTAAATATATTTTATTTAAATAGATGACTTTCCTCTGTAGATGTAGCCCATGTGTCTAGCATTATTACTGTTGAAACCACTGCTGCGGAGTCTTTTTCCAGTCACACAATAAAAACATGTCTCTCCATCACATCACAGTCACTTCGTCTGGTCCCAACCTCCCTCAGACTTCTCCCACTCAAACCATCACCACCTGCCAAGCCCTGCACCCCTCCCTCCTCATCCCATCCTTCTCCTCTGGGTAAGACACATCCTCAGTATTGCCTCTTTGTTCATTCGGGTGAAGAGATATCAGTCCCTTTGTCTTTGTGTGTTTTTAGCAGTTTGTTGTTTATCAATTAAAACAGAAATCGCGGAATTAGGTTAAATTGTGGATTTATGTTTACACAATACATGGTTGTATCATTCTGTAGGATAGGATTCATAAACCAAATATTAATCAAAATTTGCTGTAAGTTCTGGCGTTGCATAGTGTATTACCAATACTACAATTCAATTCAATTTAATTTTGTATAGCCCTAAATCACAACAGATATCTTGGAGGACTTTACACAACCGTTGAATTCGCCAACACAGGTCAGAGAATCAAACAGCTCAAACATAAGAAATAAAACAGAAAACACATTAGGGGAAGATGACCAATGTCCACAAGTGTTGATAGCAGCAGCAAAGGAAATCTAAATGGGATCAAACTTTGAGCTGTGAGCGTTTATGATGTACAGAGAGTTCTCTTACTGAAACAGTCTTTTCTTTTTAATGCATCAAATTCTAACCTTTTTTAAATTCACTCTTGCAGCAGCAAAAAACGCCTGTCCAGGCTCTTTCTCCATCTATAGTTGTGAAGAAGTCCAAGTAAGCATAAGGCCCGAGCAATAACCTCCTAGTAGCACGTTATGTCTTTTGTCAACAAACCGATAGCACTGTCCAGCACATTTATGTATTTGAGCCATTAATAAAGTGTGTGTCCGTGAATGGTGCACAAGATCATGCACAATTTAGGTCGTACGTATTCACCCTTTCTTTCTGTGTGTGCAACTCGCCATACTAATAATTTACACGTTCATTTAGAGTTCATTGCTTTTTGACGACTACTAAAGCATCACAGCTGTATTTTCTTTACATCTAACCGTTTTATCTTGCCTCACTCAAGCTTGCAGCATGATACTAATTTTTAAATATGTACATTGTTATCATACTTACTTGAATTTCTTTGTTTTCTTTCTTTCAGCCTTCACACTTTCAGCCTTCCCCCTCGCCGGGACTTTGAGCACATGAGCACTTCTTCACACACCGCCGCGTCACCGTCTGGAGTGGGACTCGTTCAGCTTCTGCAAGAGCGTGGGATCTCCGCTTCAGTCCTCCCACAAACCTGCACGCATTTACCTAGAGACACACGGGAACGGTGTGTGGGGAAACCGGCAGCCACTTTCAGCTGGAATTTAGTGGAGAAGCTGCGGAGCCTTGGACTGCACAGAGTGGCAGCTTTGGGGATGACGGACCCTGAGCCTCCTCCTTTTAACCACGTCATTATGTGATTGATGCATCTTGAAAACTGAAGCCACATTGAGCCATATGCAGTAGCTGTTTTTCATGGCATCTCAGGAGCTTACTTTGATCACCTCAGTCACAGCATTTCATCTTTTATATGCAGATTATGTAACAAATCTTTTGTTTCTGTCTTGTTCTGTGTGTTATGTTCTATTTAAGTGTTTATTGCCTTTCACAGAGATACCAATTTTATTTTTAAGTGAAGCGCCAATGTTGCTTTGTTGTGATGAAGAAACATGGCTGAAAGAGGGAGCTGACACAAGCAAAACTACCACCAGGTGACACGCTGGTCTTTCTGCATTAGAGCTGCTATGGTGTTAGCATGATGTAGTCATTTTTGTACAAGAAGCACTGCAATGACATTAGGTGAAGTCAAATAATGAATATTTATCTTTACAAGCTGTCTGATAACCAACTCAATCCACATCAAGTGTAAACTACGACAATTCAATCATATCAACACGTAACTAGTGATCGCACTGCTGTATAAGGTTTCATCAGGATTTTACATTATTTATGCTGGAGGCGTGAAGGAGAAATTAAATGTTGAGTATTCCAGATTCTTATGTTTAAAGAAAATATCATTAATTGGCTAATGATTGTATGTAAAAAAAAAACCAACACATTTTTCTGTTGCTCTTTGAATAATTAACTGTAGCATAAAGGCATAGGATATTGTTGTTGAAAAGGGAATAATGTCAAACGCTGCACTGATGTGAGTCAGTGTTACAGCTGTGTCTGTGTAAAACATGCATCTGTGAATAAATCATGAGCTCCAGTTTATGGACACACTTTTGTGACTTTTGTCGGTTTGTGTTGGTGTACAATTAAACATACAGTATACAGTATAATTACAAAAGGAACGACTAAACGTAATTGTTCCAGAACAGTTGCTAAAGTTCAGTGCACTATACTGGAGGTCATTTATAAAGAATTTGCTTAAAAAAGGACCTCTTTTGCCGCTGCAACAAACTGTACAATCATATTTTAAAATGTTTCAATGTTTTACTCCCACTTGACAGCAAGATACATTTTTTGTCTGCTTTCCTTGAGTACAAATCCCCAATATCTCAATAGAAACCAACAGTTTATTAAAATCACTTTCAGATTACAAAATGTGAATGACGATCAAGCTTCAGATCTCCAGTTCTTTTGTGAAGCCATTTCTGTGTCCCGCCGTCCAAAGTCCACCCAGCCCTGGTAGTCCCGGTCTGACGCACACTCGGAGTTCATCAACTCTGGAAGATATAGTAGCACAACATTCAAAACTGACATGTTCTCGGGCCATTGTACAGTTTGTCTTGACAGGATGGAGTCCTTTGACTAAAAAGAAGATTTTCCTACACATTTAATACATATTTTTACAGTACAGTTTAACCATTTCAAACTTTAAAATGTTACTTTGTGCTCAAGACTTGCCACGGGACATAATTCTCTCTCTTCCTTCCTGTCTCACCGCCATGAAAAGAATCCTGTCCCATCTCAATTAAGAGTTTGAGTAAGAAATCATGTGTCCCACGATTGCCAATTATCCAAATCTAAGTGAAATTATCTGAAGGAGAATAGTTAAACCAATGTTGCGAGAGTTTGCCAGGATTTGAATTCATCTTGCCCAATCAGAAAGCAAGCTGGCATTTGCAATTCTCTCTCTCCCCACAATTTGAAAAGTAACTGCCTTTCGCTTTAAGTCAGTGTACATCTTTTGAGACAAATCTGTGACGCAGACTTGAAGACCTCTGATGAGAACCTACCAGAGATGGCGTGCATTAGTTGCTTGGCCATAACCTCGCGCTCGTCCTCAGATACATGTGTCCGTCTCTCTGCTCGGGTCTCTGGGGGGTCTTTGGCCACGTCCCGTCTGGAGAAGACCCTCTGCAGGAGACTGTCCCTCACCGCCTGCTCATCAGGTCCAGCAGCACAGGACACAAGGAGACAAGCCAAGAGGACCAAAACGACTCCAAGCCTTTTGCCGTGCATGTCTGAAAACAAAATTCATTCAGGAAACTATTTACTGTAGTACCGTAACGACACAGCCATGCTCTCAAACATAAAAAGATTAAACCAAACCCTTATTACTGTTTGGAAAAGGGGATTTCAGCCATTGAATTGTTTCTGTTGATTCATTATTATCATAATTACCAGACTATAAGCCGCTACTGTTTTCATATTCTGTTAAGCCTGAAGCCTATATAGAAATTTGGCCAATATACTTATTTTTATTGTTAGATTTTCCGCCGGGCGCAGGAAATTTTGGAGAGCAGCTTTTCAAATTCGTGTGCTTTAATATTTCATTAAGTTCTGTAGCTATTCGTTTGTTTAATTTATTTGTTATCCAAGAAAAACTCTGAAAATGTTGTTCAATAGTCTCTTTTATTCTGTAATCAAACCTACAATATGAAACTAATATATGACAGACTTCTTACATGCAAAGTGAGATATAATAAGCCTGTTATGTTGATGATTGACATGCAGCTGGAAAAAACCCAAATAAAACTAAAATTAGAATATCTTGAAAATGAGACTTGCCATATGCCACTTTGTGTGTGTTGAATCTCGATCATATACTGGTTTCATATATTTATTAATTGCAAAAAAAAATCAACTTTGAATGATATTCCAGTTTTCTGAGTTATCCTCGTACTTCTATATGGGGGAGGGCAAAGAGAATATCTCGAACAATATCCAGACGTGGCAAACTAATATAAGAAATATATCATATCAAATGGTTTATTAATTGCACCTCTTCTACTATAGTCTGTTTTAAAGTAAGGTTAGAATTTACTTTCCAACACACATTCCCATTATAGAATTAGATTTTCATGCTGTTAAAAAAGGTGTAATTGTACAAATAAGACAAATAAATCAGAGTAGGGCTCAAATTCTCTACCTGTGTGTGGAGGTCGTAGGATGAGCTTCCCTAAAGATGAGCGAAGCAGAATGGAGCTTTAGGACCACAGCAAAGTCCACCTTATATAGGCCTCAGGAGATAAAAATGGTGTTAATGCTTCCTAAAATCAAAGACCCTGATAAGAAAGCAGATTACGTGTGTTGTCGTACACATAATAACAACTCGGCTTTTCATTGATCTTACAAAGAGGCTGTGCGTAAAGGAAACTACGGACCACTGCACTGAACTCACACTTGGAATTGCCTTTTTCCTTTACTATAAAACAGTCAATGTGTTTGCACTGAAAAACCAATACACATAAAATGACCAATCAACCAACACACAGCAGCATTATGAATATCAACACAAACGTTAATTTCATTTCTGTAAAATCAAGTTCTGGGTAAAAAGAGCTCATAGGAACACCCCATGTCCCTGTAAACTTTAAAGGTTTTAGCTGTTTCATGCAGGACGTCAATTAAGCCTTTGAATGAAATTGAGGTTTCACAAAACAAGGCTGAGGTCCTGTTTAAAAAATAGATCTTTTTGAGGGATTTCAGACCAGTTGCTTTAAAGACTCACATTCTCTCCTAAACAGAAGGACAACTGGATCCACTGTAATTTGCATAACAACCCAAATAATGAGTTGATGATGGAAAACTGTTCCTGTTGAATGTCATTTATAAATTCATGGAAAAGGCTCAAGCCCGCGTTAGACTTTTATTTGCAGACTTTTCATCGGCTTTTAACAAAATGCAGCCTCATACTCTGACACAGAGATGAGCTGCTGATTTCAATCTCCCAGACCAACTTCTTCAATCGATCTGAAACTTTCTTATTGATCGTGTTCAATGTGTTTTATTTAATGAGAAACGTCTGCTTCTTCCATCTCCAGCACTGGGGATGTCCCAAGGATGTGTCCTGTCGCCTCCTGTCGATCATCCGAGGAGAACAGACTCCTGCTTACATTTTCAGACGACACAGTGCTGGTGTCACTGCTTACCGGCTCAGAGACGGGCCATGGTCCTGCTAGCACAGTTTGTCTGCTGTTGTGAACCTTGGATTAAATGTTGCAAAGACCAAGGACATGATCATTGATTTCAGACGCGTTACATCCAATGACACCAATCACAACAAACTGAAGTCTGACATAAACACTGAGTCTATTGTTTAACGATTGCAGCAGAGAATACTGTATACCTGTTGAGGAAAATGAAGTATTTTAATGTAAACAGGTTAATTCTTGATAATTTTACTGTTCTTTTATTGAAATCCTTCTTTGCTTCTGTCTTGACGCTGAAGGACAGAAACAAGTTACAGAGTATTGTGAAAACTTGCTCTAAAATCACTAAAGGAAAACTCAGAGACCTTGACTCTCTGTTGGAGGAGCAGGTGCTGAATAAAGCAAAGTGTATTCTGGCTCAGCCCAAACAGAGCATCATTTTTATGCTTCAGAGCGGAAAACAATAATTTTGTGCCCTCTGCCATAAAACTGTTGGACCTTTGGGAATTGTTGTGTTGTGTATTGCTTTGTTTTTAGCTTATATTGTGTAACCTGCTGCTGTGTGGAGTGTGAGACTCACTGTTTGTGTAGAGTCTGTGTGTTCTGCTTTGAGATTATGCTGCAAATGTTTGGGATCAATAAAGTTTTCTGAATCTGAATCTGAACCATTAAGGCATCAAACTTGAATGCATTCAATCATTAACTGGTTACATATTTATTGCTAAAAAAATCTTTAAAGGGCGTTCAGGTCACAAGCACATCAAATCATACCTACGATTGGGCCTGCGTCCACAGATTGACATATAGATTTACGAGCGTAAAATGCCATGTCTTAATTTTAAACAAACAAAACCAAAATAGTTTTAATGATGAATTGAGGTTGAGTCATGAGACTATCTTTGTATAAATGTCAAATTCAGGTGTCAGCAGCAGACACACAACACCATTCACTATAGATACATGTTTCTAATAGTGGGTAATAGTAATTATTGCACATGATTAACTCAGATCAGTGCAGTCTTAATTGCACAGTTAGAGCCAAAGTTCTGTTCTTCAGCTCAGGATAGGAGCCTGTTGCTACAGATACCCCTCTGAACAGCCATAGTGTCATGCAGAGTGTCTGGAGTTACCCATGATGCCCTGCGTTAGAACCCTCATCCTTCTCTCCAGCACAGAGTCCACACTTCTCCCCAATCCCCATCACAGAAACACATTTCACGGCCCTGTATACTCAACAAGGTGACCAAGACAAAGAAAATGGAAAACCAGTCTTAGTGGGGTATAATTGCATTTGTTGTGTTTTGAAGGAGGAGTATTTTTAAGGTTGAGGTATATTTTATTTTCCACTGTGGACCACACTGTCTGTTCATGGTTAGTTACATAGGTGATGATTACTGGTCACAAACACCATGTGAGCGCTGCACCATAGAGCTATCCATGGACTAACTACAGTGTGCACACTTGGATCTTCAGACGCACTCCGAGTCAGCACCGTGCGGAGAAAAACACAAGTTGTGAACTGTTATGCTAAGGTGGCCCTCAGTTGTAGCCATAGTGTACACTTTATGGTTTTAGTGCGATTTATTCCTAATTTCCTATATGCTCATTCCTCTCTTAAAATAGCAGAGTTTTTTTCCGCACGGTGCTGACTCGTAGTGCGTCTGAAGATCCAAGTGTGCCCACTGTAGTTAGAAGATATGCCATGTCACTGTCTGAATCGGCTTCACATTAACTGTGTCTGGTGACCGACCAAGAGCAGCCCGTTTTTAACAGAGACTCGTCTCTGATTGGCCGAGAGCGGACCAGGGCCCGCCTTCCCAGGGGTCAAGAACTGCATAGCATATTGAATTAAGTTGCACTCAAACCATGTGGCAATGCAATATGCAATATGCAATATGCAATGCAATCCAGAGGGAGGTGCTGTTTCACAACACATTAAATTAAACTTGACATACTCAAATGTGGAATACAAGTCAAAATAGGATATAACATGCAATTTTGCCAAATACAACTCTAAACTAAATGCCATGTTAAGAATGAATAGAACAATGAATATCCATCCATCCATCCATCCATCCATTTTCTACCCTTTAATCCATTTCTGGGTCAGGGGGGTGGCAGTCAGAGATGCCACCCAAGTCTCATAGCACCAGCCCCTCACTGACCCTCTGCAGGTGGTGAGTCCACAGGAGGACGGCTGCTCTCTGACTGTGAGCATAGCCTTGATCGAGCACAATGAATCTTGAGAACAATGAATGAGGCCAAAATTCCATGGCAATATGCTATTCATTTAAAAATCTTGTAATTTGCAATATGTAAAGACATTGTATCGACACTTTACATATCGAATTGCCATTAGAACTTTTGGAATAGAACATTAAATGTCAAAATTGGATATAACATTACACTTTGACAAATACAAATACAAAATAAATACTAAAATAACATAATGCATAGCCATTTGACAAATGAATAGACAATTGAATTAAGGTGCCAATAGTCTTCCATATTAATGTTTTGTGAGATATATTTTGACCATAAAGAAGCGTCGGTGTAAAGTTTCTTTTGACACATACTAAAAGTACACAGGTCCACCTCCTGGTGTCGCTGTCGGTTTGCAGTTGGTACTGAAGTAACATAGTATTCTCACCTGATCTCCAGAGCAGCTCTCTCCTCCGTCTCCTGCTAAGGGCAAACTATAGTCAGGCAGTTCATTTTGTGAATAACTAAGTTATTTATTAAGTTTTATTGAAATGCAGTTATCCCTGCCTTCGAAGGCTCTCCAGGTCCTGCTGCGGTGCTTCTGGCAACAAGCTTTGTGTGGCTTCAAAAGTGCCCCATCTTTACCCACTGTAGCAACCATTTTCAGTCCAGGAATATTTTTGATTGACTGCGGAACCTTCCGCAGTCAACCATTGGTTTTGTATTTCTTTATTCCGTCATTTTTTTTGACACGTTTCACAGCTTTCACATTTTCAACAATTTCCACAAGTTATACATCAAAACGTTCCACATGTTTGGGAGATTATTGCTATTACTTTTGGGACTTCAGCGATTTCCGGTTTTTCCGCAATCGGACAAAAATCT